CTATGATACACTGTTGAATTTTGAGTTTTGCTCATTCTCAGCTCACAAGATCATGCAGTCTCTTATTCCATTTCCTCTCCTTGTTCATTTCTATATAAATCCTGACATCAGCTGTTTTCTCTGAGAATTTCTGGTTATTTTTGCTGAGGATGGGTCATTGATTGAAAGGGAAGACCCGCATGGTAGGTGTGCCCATTGTTCTTTGGTCACTGACTACCTCTTTCCTCATTTCACAGAGGAAATATGTATGAATGTACAAACACATATAGATACACATCTATACCTAGTCCATGTCATTCTGAACACACATGCAGACACATACCGTACTGATGCATGCTATTTCAGTCCAACACCATAGGACTCTTTCTAACCAGTTCCTCTCTTTACTTAAAACTGTTTTAAAAATATTCCTAGCATATATGCATTGTGCAAAATCATGAGTTTCATTCTGACATATTTGGTACGGCATCTCTTTGCTCACATTTATCCAGTCAGCTTCCCTTTGTCATCCTTCCCACTCCTGCTCATTGACTTTCTCTTTCTCAAAACAAGCTCTTCTACTTTCATAATGTGTGTGTCTGTGTGTGTACACCTAGGTATGTTAAATATAATGTCCACATGTAAGATAACACATGAATAACTGTCTGGAGCTTGTTTATTGGATCATTAGATAATCTCCAGATCCAACTGTTTTGATCCAAATGATATAATTTTATTCATGTCTGACTAAAACTCCATTAGATAGATAGATGATAGAGAGACAGGAAGCCAGACAGACAGACAGACAGATAGATGGATGGATTACAATCTGTCCATCCCAAATTTTAATCTGTTGATGGACATTGTGGCCAATTCTGTGAATTCATTATAATAAAGAGTCCCATATTAACATTAACATTAGCATGTATCTTTGTGGTATAGTGGCCCTGGGTTCCTTTGATTACATACCCAGAAATAGTATATATTATCTATCATACAGTAATTATTTTATTTATTTGGTTTTATTTTATTTTATTTTTGTCTTTTTGATACAGGGTTTCCCTGTAGCCCCAGCTGGCCTGGAAGTCACTATGGAGACCTGGCTGGCCTCCATCTAACAAAGTTCCACCTTATTCTGCCTCCTGAGTGCTGGGACTAACGGTGTGTGTCACCATGCCCGACTCATTATTTTATTATTTTTTTCTTGGAGGAAACTCCATACTAATTTCCATAGTGGATGAACTAATTTATATACCTAATAACTGTGTGTAAAGGCTCTATATACTTAATGTCATTTATTTCTTTATTTTCTTGGTGATAGCCATTCTGACAGGAATAAGGTAGAATCTCATTGTAGTTTTGATTTGAATTTACCTGGTAGTTAGATGTATTCAGTACTTTTGCATATACATACTGGATATTTGTACTTCTTTTGAGAACTTTCCAGTTGATTTACATATTCATCGATTGGATGTTTGGTGATTAATTTTTTAAATTTTATATATTCTATGTATTAATACCATGTCATATATCTAGCTGTCAAAAATTAATCCCATTATACACTGCTGCCCCTTCACTTGGCTATCATTTTCTGTGCTGTACAAAAGCACTATAGTTCTATGTAATACCAGTTGACAATTCTTGCTATTATTTTATTGCTATTAATATTGATTTCAGAAGTCTTTGCCTGTGCCTATATTGTGAAGTGTTTTCCCTGTGTTTTTCTGTAGCAGTTGCATAGTAGCATGCCGTACATTGAAATACTTGATCCCTTTTAATAATCATTTTGCTCAAACTGAGAAACTTTGTTGATTATAAATATATGTAATCAGTTGCACAGTCCTCACATGCACCATAAAGATTCAAATTGCATTTTCATACCACTATGAAAAATAAACTTTAACAATAAATACTTTAGAGTATAATATTTATTGCTGTTTTTCTTATCATTGGAGTATGACAATAATGTTTCTGAAAATTGCTTAGTTTAGCTCTGTTCTTCCTCAGCTTCTTAATTATTCATTTGTAAAGCAAAGTATCTGAAGTCAGCCCATTTCTGAATATAAGTTTATGTGCCATTATTTTAATGCATCATTGTATTATTTAGGGTCGTATTATTATTGGTTCTTTTCTAGTGTCCTATCACCTATCGGTAGCAATATCCTTCCTCTTCCTTACCACTTTATTTTGCCTGCTTTGCTACTACTTTAGTGTAATGATGAATAATACTAGAGATACTCAGTATTCTCCTGCTCCTGAGCTAAGTAAAAATGTTTCTAGTTAAGTGTGATTAAATAAGATAGTGATTTAAAATTGAGGAATGAATTTTTTTCTTACTAAGAAAGGGTCTGTATTCTTCTCAAATGTTCTTATAATGAATGGATAGATCTTTCAGCACATATAAAATACCCATATTTTATATTACAGTAATAGATTTTCTAGTATGAACCAGCTCTGCATTTCCAGAACAAACTTCATTTGGCTGTGTGCAGTATTTCTTTATGTGGTGTGATGTGTTTCTAATGTTCATTTTCTTTTGTTGATATTTGCATTGTTAGCCTATCATTTTCCCTTAGCTCTTGTGAACAAGTATTTTAGGTTTCAGTATCAACATGACTGATGCTGGCTTAATAAAATGAAACATTTTTTTCTCATTTTCAATGTTTTGGAGCAATTTATTGAGTGGTGGGACAGTTTGTTCTTTGAACGGTTTGTGAATTTTGACTGTGAAACTCAGGGCCCATTGTTTTCTATGGGTTTCTTTCTTGTATGGAAATTGATCTCTGTAAATCTGTCTCTAATGTAATGACATATTTTTAACATTTCCCTTGAAAATTGCCCCCTTTGTCTTAATTTTACAAAACATGTATATAGATGCCTATAGAATAGTTTCTTATAATTTTATTTGACTTCACTTTTCTTTTCAGTAGTCATTTCTCACTTTGTGTAGTTTGTTGTTGTTATAACTGTTGTTCTTATTTTGTTAAAGTTACTTTAAAAAATACACTCAGAGGACTGACTTGGTTTTGTTTTTTTTGATTTTCTATTTGTTATTTTCTATTTTTGTTTTGATTTTTCCTCCTACATGCATTAGTGTTTGTATTTGCTGGATATTCAATTTGTTTACATTAGTCATTTAATTTCTCCTTAGAGAAAGATTAATTCATCTGCAGGAACAATGCAATATTATTAGATCCTGCAGACATTTTTCATGAAAATTAACTCACTAGTTTAAAAAAATAGTATATTTCCCTCAAATGTGAAAGAGTCCATAGCCAGGCATCATGAAACGTGCCCTTAATTCCAATTCTGGAGGTGAGGGCTGGACTAGTTTACAAGTTCACGATCAGTCTGGATTACTTAGCAAAATCCTATCTCCAAACAAAACTAAGCCAAACCAAACCAAACAAACATACATACAAAAGTGCATGGGAGAAAAAGAGGTAGTATGGGATTTGTTTCTTTGTAATCTGATTTTAGTGATTTCTAAATTCCCTGAGTCTTGGTTCATATGCAGAGTGAGATTATTTCTAAAAAGCATCAACCCAATATTTTTAAATGGTTTTCTCTTTCTCCCTTCATAACTTTTTAAGCAACAACAGGAGATTCAAGTTAAGGCTGTCCTGGAGTACATAGCAAGACCCTGTTTCAACAAAGAAAGAAAGGAGGAAGGGAGGAAGGGAGGAAGGAAGGAAGGAAGGAAGGAAGGAAGGAAGGAAGGAAGGAAGGAAGGAAGGAAGGAAGGGTGAGTGGAGGGAGAAAGACTGACAGGTATAAATAATTCAGTACTGTGAAGCACTTGACTTGTGCAAGGTACTGTTTCACAGGTTTCTGCACAGACTATATTGTGCCCAAAGAGGCCAAATATGTGGCTTGATTTTAACAAAATGACGTGAAGCTTTACTATCTGACTCAAAGTTCCAACTCTTTTTTTTTTTTTCTTACAGTACTATGCTGGATAGTTTCAGTTGTTAACTTAATATACCTGGGTGGAGGGAACCTCAGTTGAGGAAATCTTCATTGAATTGGCCTGTGGCTGTGTCTGTGGGTTATTTTCTTGATTGATGAGTGATGTGGGAGGGCCCGTACAATTGTGGGCATTACCACCTCTGGACAGGTGGTCCTATGTGGTATAAGAAAACAGGCTGGTCACCTGCCTGAGGAGTAAGCGAGTAAGCAACCTCCATGTTCTGTGCATCAGATTCCTGCCCCGAGTTCCTCCCTTGGCTCCAATGATGATGGACTTTGAGCTGTAAGCTAAATAAACCCTTTCCTCCCAAGTTGGTTTGGTCAGTGTTTTTATCATGGCGATAGAAAGTAACTAGGATGAGTATTCACTAGTCTTTTATTGATAGCTTCACTTTTCTCAGTCTGAGCAAGTCATAAACTAAGACATTAAAAAGAAATTTCCAGAAATGAATATTTCATAAGCTTAAATTACACTGTGTTCTGAGTAGCTTGAAAAAATGTTATGCTGTCCTGCTTCATCCCGCCTGGTATGTGAATGATCATCCCTTTGTCCAAAATATACATGTGTATGATACCTGCCTGTTGGCTACTGAGGAGTCACTTAGTGTCTGGTATCACAATGTTTATAGTTCAACTAAGTCTTATTTGTATAATAATGGCCCCGAAGCTCTAGAATAGTGATCTGGGCAATTTTATTACAGTATACTTCCATAATGATTCTCTTTTGCTAGTTATTTTTAAACTGTTATTATGCCTAATGTGTAAGGCAAATGTAGGTTGTGAATATAAAATAATAACCAGTGTGTTTAGGGTTCACTACCGTTTGAGGATTCAGACATCTATAGGAGTCTTGGAATTTTTAGATTTTTCTATATTTTTCAATTCACATATACAACATACAGTCTTGATGACTACATTAACCTTTCTCTGTCTATTTGTTAAAAGATAAGCTGCAACTTCTATTCATGGGATTAAATGAATCTAGGCAATATTGAAAAAGTAACTATTAAGCTCTCCTTAATTCCCATTCCTTTTTGTCTCCTCAATTTCAGCACACCGTGACTGGTACTACTGAGCCCCTTCTGGTGATTACTCCTTAGACCTTTCCCTGGGCCACATTCTTCAAAAGACTAGCACACATCCAGTTTGCTCAGATATAATCTCACATTAATGGAGTTCTTATAGAATGAACTACATTTGTCTCTCCAGGACTGGTAAGAGCTTAAAAACATATTTCTACTTTGCACATAGTATTTGATAGTATTTTTACTTTATTATTAATTGTAAATATATATTAAGCAAAAAGGCATTGATACCTTGATTGAGATGTTTATTATTCACCAAGCATATGCTGATCTAATTGGAAGGGTTTTATTACTTATGCAAAGTAAAACAAGTTAACATTTATTGTAAGTGGAATTTCCTAACAAGCACTCTTTGTAAAAATGCGATACTGTTTTATGAAACCTATAATTGCTGCAATCTGTGTTGGTTTTACTGTTATAAAATCAATAATTATAAAATGAGGCAGCTATCTCTTTAAAAATGATTATGATGGAGATGCTTGTATTGTGATTACCTATATGCATATTCTTCCCTCCCTGAGCTTCCCTTCTGTGCTTTGCTAATATACATTAGCTTATGCCTGCCTTTCTTTTCCTCCACTGTGACATGTTCTGTTCCAATATATAAAATTGTGAGATGCTCCAGTTATGGGTTACTTATAAACACAGGGACATGGGGCTAGGGAAAGACAATAAAGTTGAACCAGATGGCACCCCAGGAGTATTTACTGCAGGGATGCTTGTGGGGGAAGATGAAGATGGATGAAGATGGCTCTGCATCTCTTAGACACCCAGTGGCTTCTTGAGAACAGAAACTCAGGAATAAAATGTGAGCCTGTGGCAACGGTGTCATTGAGCCTGGGACCCATGTCAGCTCAGTTAAAGCAGGGCCCAAAGGGGAGGTGAGAAATAGGTGGCAGGCCAGCCCTAGATTGAGAACCATTTGAAACTGATTGCTGCTGGGTGAAGGAGAGTATGGCTTACATATGACCACTGGATGGGCTGACTAGACTCCAATGGACACATTTACACTGAAGGACATTTGGGTACAAACACCTGAATGAATAGGACTCAGCATGTATGGCAGAGTGCATAGGATTCAGTGGAGGGATGGCGGGAGCCATGGATCAGGGAAGGAGTCTGGATTTGAGTGGGAAAAGTATGATATTTAAAAAGCTCAATGAAAAAAATGTGAAAGAAAACAGTTTTGGGTCACAACATGAAGCTATGCTGGATGGAAAACGGGAAATGGAAGCTATCCAAAGGGCTCCCTCCCCAAGCACAGAAGCATCATAGTCATATACAGTGTCCTACAATTTTTTAAATATTTTGTGGATAATATCAGGGAATTTTTATCCCAAAAGCTTAATGTAAGAAAGACCTGATAATTGGAAACTGGGAGGTTGAAGGTAGATAAATAGATCTGATTAAAAAGTTATAATAACCTGAAAATAAAGGTTTTAAAGACAGACCAGGGTCTCTAGTTTGAGTTCTGACTCAGACACATTTGGACATGACTGGGGTAGTTTTGAAAATTAATTGAGTTAATTCATAATAGTGTCCTGTATTGGGCCTGGCACTCAAAACTTTTCAATAAAAAGGCATTATTAAGCAAAAAAATATTAGAAAGGATCTTTGTAGTGTCATTCACCTTGATCTTGATGCATTTTTCTCTGTGAGGGCTTGAATTTGTTATCTGAAAATTTCCCAAATATGTTGAACTGTCTTTAATTTCACACAACCAACCACAGTTGTAACACATTCCTAGGCTTCTCAAGAGTAGGTTTGGGATTTTTAAATCTGAACAATGAAGCTGGGCGTGGTGGCACATGCCTTTAATCCCAGCACTTGGAAGGCAGAGGCAGGTGGATCTCTGTGAGTTCAAGGCCAGCCTGGTCTACATAGTGAGTTCCAGAACAGCTGGGGCTACAGGGAGACCTTGTCTCAAAAAGACCGAAAAAAAAAATCTGAACAATGTATGTCTGAAGATTTCATATTTAGATTTTTATCATATCAGATCTGCTACTTTCTAGCATCCTGATTAATTGACTAAAGAGTGTAACTTCTAAATCTCCTTATCTTTCAAATAAGAACAGTAGAATATTTATCAGAGTTACCAGCAAACAAGGCTTAAGATGGATGTACAGAGTCAGTACGTCTGGACATCTGTGGCACAGCTGCCATTAGCGAACACACATAGATTCTCAGCAGTGGTACTTTACCTTTTCGTGCAAGCTAGGCCTAAGCCAGATTATTACAGGAACAATGTTATTAAATTATTTCATTGAAACATGTACAAGAAATCAAACCATAAACTCTTTCAGTGTGGGCAGTGATAGGAACATGAGACATTTTCACAAAGTTACAAGCTGCTTTCATTGAACAGCAACAGCAGAAAAATAAAACCCCAGCATAGAAATGGGGACGTGGGCAAAAAGTCCCAGTTTTAGCTGAGGAGCTATTGGTAATGGATAACTACTGGGGGTGGGGTGGGGGCAGGGAGGGAAGAAAAGGGGAAGGGGGGATGGGGAAGGAAAGACAAGAGTGCAAAAGTCTAATCCAGATCAATTTCATTTCAAGGCTATCTTTCATCGTTTTAGCATATTTCTATTTTATTTGTCTATGAAAGACTGACAAATGTTTCCCTCCCAAGTGAGGCCTTAAGGTAATCCTTCTGGATTTTTATATCTAATAGACATAAATGGCGAATGTATCAAACACCATACTTAAACCGTATAGAGTATATCTCCTGTTTCTTGATCATTTATCAGAACTTTTATTGTTTCTGGAGAATGGTAGGAGGGTCAGGGTAAGGTAGGAGAAGGTGAAACAGGACAGGAAACTTGGAGTACATCCTACTAGGTCTCATGACAAGAAAACTTCAACTATGTTTCTGATGTTCCAAAGGAAACAAAATGCTTCGTTTGGTTGTCAAGCAGCATTTCAGGCTCACTTAAGAATTATGTCCTTTCATTGGGTCCATGCTGAATGCATGTTGGGCACTTCCGGGTCCATACTGAACTCATGTTGGGCACTTCCTGCTACTATGTTTGTTGATAGTCTAGTTGTTTTACTAATCTGTTGAAAATTGTTAAGAACCAGTCACGGTGGCAAGCACCTTTAATCCCAGCACTCAGGAGTCAGAGGCAGGTGGATCTCCATGAAATTGAAGCCAGCCCGGTCTCCATAGTGAGTTCCAGGCCAGTTGGGGCTTCAGGGAGACTCTGTCTCAAAAAAGCCAAAACAAACAAAAATTGTTAAAAAATCTTCAGAGACAAAAATCTTTTAGTTCCCAAGATATATATTTTTTATTTTCCTCAAGTGTATGGTGTATTTTTAGCACCTAACCTGTCTTTCCTTTAGTCTATTTTATAAGAAAATTGACATTTTCTGCATGAGGCACATTTTCCTTATTTATTATGATTTCATCTTGACAGGATAGAGATAATAGCAGTAATTCATAGTGTTTGGTAGGAATATGGAATATTGGAGTTGGAACATGCTATTTTATGCAGATACAAAGTTAAATAGATTGTGCTTTGAAACATTACTGCAGAATTTTAATTCATAAATTAAACCAAAACTTTTATTATTTCAAGTATACTAAAGGTTTTTCTAAAAGTCATCCACATATAATCTCTCATTTAAATTCTCTTCTTTAATATAATTCTAAGAAGAATGGGACCAAGAGAATCTTCCTTTTCTATTCTTCATAAAAATCTATTTTATCCACTAACAGTAAAATATTTAGTGCATTCCTCAGCATATTTATGACCTAAGTACACAGAGATCTGACAATAAAAATTAATCATGGTAAAAACATAAGAATGTTTGTCAAAGAAAAGTAAAATGGGATACAAATGCCTGTGACTTTTTATATTTACTCTAAAATAGAATCTGTTTATATAAGAGGAAGATGGCTGCTGGATTCAGGGTTAAGGGACCAGGTTGCTAAATATGAATTTAGAAAACACTCTGTGTGTGCATGCATGTGTGTGTGTGTGTGTGTGTGTGTGTGCGCATGTAAGAGTTTGGGGGATGGAATTCCGGGCCTCACAAATTGCTCTACCACCAAGCATCACCTTAGAGAACTCACTTTCTAGATTTGTTTGAGCTTTAGGATCCTTTTATCTTTAAAAAAAATTACTAATTCCTCACTGAGTTTTGAGAATAAAATAAGTTGGTGCTTGAGAAAGTGTTTTTGAACTTGAAGGTTCTGTAATAGCCCATTATATGTTGCCATTACTAATGTTACGTCGGAGCCTTTATCATATGAATGTTAAAGAGCTAAGTATAAAATTCTGTTAAACCTTCTACAGAATTCTCATGTCAAACATTTTATGTGAGCTCCACATCACAATATTTACATTTCCTGAGTCAAGGCATCGTGCCTCCTTTTGTCCAGTGTTCACGGGTGTGCACTTCACTGGCAGAAATTATTCCATCAGAGTCAATGATCAATTTTGACTTTCAATATTTTATTCCTGTTAAATATTAAATCCTCATTGGCCTATTCAGTCTTGAAGATTTAGAATTTCCTGGCATTGGTATCAGTGAAATTATTTTTGATTTCCTTCGTTATGTGTTTTTTGTTTTGTTTTTGTTTTCTTTGTATTTTGGGTGTTTGCTTGTTTGTTTGTTTGTTTTTAGCAGTGGCTTACTATGTTGCCCAGATGACCTTGAAATCACTGTGTAGACCAGGCTGGCTTTGGACTCTCAGAGATTCTGACTCTGCCTTCTAAGTGCTCGGATTACAGGTGTTCACCACAATATCTGATTTGTGTCAGTGAAATTTTCAACAAGGAATAATTTTTTAAATCTGTAATTTTAGTGGTCAGGTATGTTATAATATAGTAGGAAACTTTAGTAATTTTATTATGGTGTGTGATCTTGACTCTAGAGAACCACAGTCAGGTCTGGACTCCCGAAGCAAGGGTCATATGGTAGTATATCTGCCAGAGATGAGCTCTCATGGCTGTTGCAGGTACCACCTGGACAAGGTGCATTGGCACAGTACCCTTATCAAGTAAGGATGTCTGTGAGCAGTTTAGTTTAGAAACACTGAGTAGCCTCTGCTGTCCCCTGGATTGAGATGCCCATGTACCATTCCAGTCCCCAATAACAGCTCCTATATTCATACTGAGGTGGCT